AAAGACGGAAAAAGGTGCGTGACGTCAGGCTACAGTGGACACGTATGACGGAGGCGACTTTTAGGCGACGAGCATTGGATGGCCTCACGCTACAGCTGACGCGCATGACGGAGGTGACGTGTCGGGGGCGACGTGCATGACGTCAGGCTACAGTGGACACGTATGACGGAGGCGACTTTTAGGCGACGAGCATTGGATGACGGCACGCTACAGTGGACGCGCATGACGGAGGTGACGTGTCGGGGGCGACGTGCATGACGTCACGCTACAGCGGACGTGCATGACGGCGGTGACGCGTCGGGGCGCACTGTATGACGGCGATGATGTAGCCTTCCCTGTCATATATAAAAGGGTGTTTCCCTATCGTTCCTTCCTCATGCCTCCTCTCCCAGTTCCACCACCCACGGCTCCCGTTCGTCTTCCTCTCTTACCTCCGGCTCACGCCGTCTTGCCCGCCGCTGGGCCGTGGCCCCCTCAAGACCCCTTCAACCTCGTCAGCATCCCCGCATTTCCTCTCCCGTCAAACGAAGAGTACTGTCCCCTCGGCATCGAAGCCTACAAACTCAATGTGGCCCCCGATATCGACAACACCTCTGATCGCGCTCAACAGGTCTACAATACTCGCACCGTCGCCATCGCCAAGCAGCTCGGCAGCATCACCGACGATCAACTAGCCGAAATGGAGGCCGACTTTCAGACATGGGCCCGTGACGTCCAACCCTCCCAGTCCCCTCACACGTCTCTAGCCCAGCTCCGCTGTCGCATGACCTGGAGCGTCATGGTCTCCAAATTCCGTCCAAAGTGGCCATTCAGCTGTCACTGGGACGTCGACGTCGTCATCAAATTTGCTCCCATCTTCATACCATTCCTCGTACGTGCATTACTTTTATGGTTTCACATTTTACTGATGCACATATAGCTGAGGGTCACGCCGCCTCGGCCAGGACACACGGTAATCAAGGCACGGACACTTGCAGGATTTGCATCAATCTTCCAGCATCTGATTGCCATCCTCACGCGCTGTCCTTTTACCGGCAAGCGAAAGGGTCTTTTTATCCTTGCAGAGATGCAACTTGCCAGCGTATTTCGTGATCAAACCGTCACTTGTACGTATTCCTTTTCACATTCTTTGACCTGCCTCTCATCCTTCTTCAGTAACTTTTAGAGATAAATTAGACCGCTTCTTTGACCGAAAGGTTTATTGTGGACGCCCAGAACTTCAACTCATCATCGAGGGGGCCCTGGAGAGATCGCAGAATGGAGTAACCCGTCTCGTCAAGATCAACAACATTTGCAAGATCATTGTGCCCTTTTACCTCACCACCCGTCCATCAAGCATGGGCCCTAGTTGTCAAATTTATGCAGACCGCGGATTTGTGAGTATTCTCATTTCCCCTCCACAGATTCTTTCTGACCATTTTCATCAGTATCTTACTCTCGGTGACTTTGAGATTGAACAGGAAGGCCTCGGCGATTTCACCATCATGGTCCACATTCACAACCACAAGGGTACCATGTCTACGCATGCGGCCATGGACCTAGTCTTCCGACTCTCTTCTGTTACCAAAGCCCACAATGTCCTTTTTGACCCCACCGTCTGGATACTCACATATCTATTCTCTATTCAGGCATTCGACATCAAGTACAAGGTATGTCACAAAAGTCCAGATGATTTTACCAGCTCATTCCTCCAGACACTTGGTGCATTTTTCAAAGATCCACGAAAGCAGAGACCCATCGACAAGGAAAGGAAGGCAGAGCCCTTGTATGTCCCTGTTGCTCTTGTCTCGCCATTCTCTAATCTTTACATAGCTATCGAAAGCTCATTCAAGGAGGGAGCACATTTATGGACCCGCCTCAAGCCTGCACATCCAATTCCATCTCCTGTACTGCTTCTGCCCTCTCAGAAGGTGTCGGCATTGTCAGGGGTGGCATTTATGCATGGCGCCGTGGAGCGGGCAACGACTATGGGGTAAATTACAGCAACCGAGTTGCCATGCTCATCATGAACCACGGTGTAAAGGAAGGCCGTGTTTTTGATGAGAATTACTCACTGGGTGTGGAGAATCATGACATGACTGAGATGCGTCTGCAAGAAACTTGTACTACCAAGAAAAAGGCAAGCTTTCGGTTCATCACTGATCATCATCTAACACTGTTACAGGCACCTCCGTCGGTCAATGCGGCAATACTAGCTATCGTTGAAAAGTTTATTGTCAGCGATAATGCTGAGGATATCATTGAAGCAGAGGCATGCTCTTGTTTGTGTCAATGACACGTCACTGATGCCTGTAACAGAGACAGCGCAAGATTACTCGCAAAGAAGAGTTTGATAAACGTCGTCAGGTGTGTTTCATTACCTCCTCTTGTCCCTGAACCTTATTCATCCACCTAGGATGACCCCCTTTTCATTGCCGCCGAAGATGCCCTTTCCATCGCTTGGTCCGCCTTTTTTACGTGCTTTACATCATCAGCTGCCCGCAAATACCCACGTCATGTCAAAGGAAACGTTCAGGGTATACTTGATATCGTCTCTGGAGAAAAAAAGCATCCCCAGCTCAAGGCCGGCGAACCTCTGATCGCTCTTGTTCCCAATATTACATACGAGATGGCCAAACAGGTAAGGCTCATTTCTTGTTCTTACGCATCTCTAATCTGTCTGCAGAGAGGCAACACCGTCTTGGAAAAGCTCGACGCTCGAAATGCTGCACGCGTGAAAAACACCAAAAAGACTCGGAGAACACTTGCGCAAGAAAAAACAGCCCAGTTTCAAAGTCGCGCTGTCCCTGGAACGCTTGATCAACACAACAAGGTCAAGCAGGTTCTCGAACAGCCGTCAATGCTCCTTCAGCCATTCCTCACAGGTGAGCTTTTTTTTACAATGTTCCCAGCCATCACCTAATGTGTGCGCCAGATTCATCCGAAATACCCGACAAAGACGTTGCTCCTCTAAGTGATGATATGGACTTTGGCGAATACGAGGATCCCGACTATCTCAAAAAGCTCAACTCCCTCATCAATGCCAAGAACCCAAATACCGATGTATCAACGCCATTGATGGATCTTGTCGAACAACCACCCGTCGAGCCAGCAGACGAAGCCGTCAATGAGGCAGACGAACCTGATCATCTCCAAGTCCCTGCAGCCCAGGTTCGTATGCGCGTGATGGAAGCTATCATTGCTCCTATCACTGCCGCGCGTCTACTCGACTCGCACAAGGTATGTACCTTTTCTCTCTCTCAGAATATAATCTAACCATCTACAGACCGAAGACGGTACATACGTTTGCCCCGACTGTCCTCTCTTCATCCATCGGCCAGTTCCCGCGGGCATCACCAATCGCGGTGTGTTCCAGACTCGCTACATTTACACAAGGCACAGGTACGCTCTATTCATTGAGCGTTGCTAGCTATTTAACACACCTTTTAGGAGAGAGATGCACTCGGAATGGCGGGATATGGAACTGGGCATGTACATCGACGGCACCAGCACCAAATTCAAGTGCCCGACCTGTCCCAACTTTAAGCAAGTCTGATCCTTTTTTTTCAATCTTTTCTGACGCCTCTTTCAGAGCCCGAACCATCGCTCGGGTCCAGGACCACATGCTTGAAGAGTGCAACGCACGCATCGACAACTTTATTACTTATCAAGAATATCTCAAAGTTAAAAGTCGCTCCACCAAACTCGACGACGCCCCCGACTTGAAAGAGGGCCCAGCCCGCAAGAAATACAAGGCAAACAAGATCAGTTTACAGACCTTGTTGTACTCTTTCGATAAGCAAAAGGCATCATTCTACGAGGTGCGGAATCGTTTAACGGCGCTTTCACCTTTTTTTCACACTGGAACAGGCATGTGCTCATTGGCCGGAAGAGCTGCTTGAGATTGTGGATGATTTGGTGGACGACGCACGAGAAGACTTGACAGAGCTGGCGATGTGATTACAGAACAATGGTATACAGTTTATGGACAGCGGACGAGAAGACTTGAGCCGGCGATGCAGAACAAGAAAGTGATTCGACAGCAGTTTAACACGGAATACAGTTTATGACAGTCATGGAAAGCGATGAGACAGCGGAGCCTACGAAGCAGGTTGCATAGAGCCAATGAGAACGGAAAATAATTGGCGAGCGATATCCGGACTCAAAGCTGGTGCCGGTGCCGGAGCAGGAGTCGCTACTGGAGCAGATACTGGAGTAGGGAGCAAGGCTGCCGCTGCAGCATTGCGGACAGGCGTCTCTGCGAAAAAGAAGAAGAAAAAGCTATCAATGATGGAACAGAAACTTGGGGCTACGTACCTGTGGCTTGCGCTGCAAGGGCCTCGGCTACCTCTTGCTCCTTTTCACGAGCAGCTAGAATCCTCATCGTAAAAGCAGCACCGAAAGCAAGACGGAAAAACGCACCCTTGGCTTCGGCCGCCTCGTTATCAATCCTCAAAGACTCGCGCAGCTTGATCTGGGCCTCAACCAGGCTCCTTTGTTCTTTCACCAGTTCCAACTCCTTTGTGTTTGCCTGCTCCTTTCGCATCAAAAGCGCCATCTTCTGATCCTGTAGCCCTTGAAGAACATTCACAAACGAGCTTGGCGAGAGAGGCTCAGCGGGTGCACAACGCATCTTTTTTTGCTGTGGCTCGTGTTGCTCCGTCGCGTCCAGGTTCTCATTCTCTTCGTTCTCGTCTGCAGCCTCGTTTGCCCTCTTTCGAACAAGTCGGCGTCGTTGCGAAGGAGCTGGAGGAGAATTTGGAACCTCGATCTCAGAGTCTGAGCTAACGATGACCCGCGAGGCTCTGCCCCTGTTGCCTATATGCGTGTCAGTATGCATCAAGCACAAAAACTGGATATACCAACTTGTCCTCGCAGCTTGATCTAGAGGGAGGTAAGCACTAGACCACAATAGAAAAACAGTCTCACCGTCTGATGTGTTGGCCATGGTGGTCAGAGTACAAGCCTATGACAGAATCACATGCGCATTGTGCGCACATAGTAAAAGGGCTCAAGAAAAAGGGCTCAACCGAGAATTGAACTCGGGACCTCGCACATTTGAATGCATATATGCATCGGATATCCTCCCGAAGCGCGAATCATACGACTAGACCATTGAGCCGCGGTGGGTGCCAGCGCTCCATGTTTTCGACCTCAAGCTGGGGATGAAACTACATCATACCATCGATATCGGCAGGCAGCACCACACCAGAGTCGGCAACCGGATGGGAGTCTATACAAGAGGCGACGACAGTGTGATTCGGGTTACCCCTTCCCATGTTGAATTCGCCAGGCATACGCATCCGGGCTCATCTCACGCAGCTCGAGGCTGAGCTCAGGGCTCTCCAAGAACTAGATCCCAGTGCCACACCAGGTACCTTGAAGAAGCGAGATGAGCTGATTACAGAAATACAGAAACGGATGAGTCAGATGAGCGCGATGAACATCATCGCTCGTCGACCACCCAACGATTCCGTTCCTGATCCTCAGGCTGATGATGACATCAATATAGCTGCAGAAGTCGATCCTTCTATTGTGCGCTTCGAGAGTCTGCTACCCAAGTTTGATAGAACGAAATTTCCGCCCTTTACGGCCCAGGATTTCCGGCAGAGACTCGTGATGCCAGATAGTGGCGCTCGGATTGCGATTGAAGATCGTGCTCTGGAGAGAATTATTCGAGGGTATACAGACAGTGGCAGCAATTGGGTGAGTGATATAAAATGCCGAGCAGGTGGTGATCTAACGGTGATCAAGCACGATGTTCTTTCTCCCATGGTTGAGAATCATGATGAATGGGAAGTCATAGGCGAGAGTACGCAAGCTATGCGTAAAATTGAAGACGAGGTAGAGCGTATCGAGGCTATGGAAGAGGTGAGTGATGTGGATTATTACGAGAGAAGACTGACACTTTTTCTAGTTTCTTGATGCTCGTGTTGCCGTTGGATCTAGTCAGATGTTTGTCGACTGGGTGATGCGTGGTATCGAGACTGTACGCTATGTCAAGATTTGGGATGGAGCGCCAGGTGAAAGAAAATGGAAGATTGACTATCTGAAAAAGACGTTCAAGGCGAATAATGGGCAACTGGTCGGCAACCTTTTTCTTGTGATGGAGGCTGGAGATGAGAAGGCCAAGGCCCAGGCAAAGAAAACATACCAAGCGAAACTGGATTCCCATCGCAAGAGGCACTATCGCACCATAGAGAACCGGCGACCTCTTGCCCTGCTCTATGATCATGTGAGTGGCATTCTTTGTTTGTTGCACGGTCGCTGATGGGTGTAGTTTGGCGCTGCTGTTTTTCTTGAACCGACGTGGGATGTGATGGACAAGGGCCAAAAGCGAGCCAGATCTAGCACGTTTGGGGGATTACTTGTTCACATGCCCGACAATCTGCCAAAGGAGGATGGCATTTCGATCCCGGCTAAGCGGTCGGAAGCTGCAAGGAACGCGCTGGTCGAGATTGTAGGAATTTTCGCGCCTGCGCTGGTAGACTACGTGGAGGACTTTCTTGATGACTACTTGCCTGTTCACTATGGCACCCAGCAGGAGGAGGAGGAGGAGGAGGCAAATGACGACTTGGAGTAGTGCCCTGGAAGCGTAGCATTTCATACCCGACCTCGGGCTGTAAATGAACATGTGATCACAAATCACTGGGAAAATCCCCGAAGCGCGAATCATACTACTAGACCATTGAGCCACTGGGGGAATATTCTCGATCAACCTTCTATATTGAGCTGATTCCGTAAGTCCCGATCACCGTTGATGCGATGCCGTTTCAGCTTGTTTTCAGCTGGAATATTTGGACCGATGGCAAACGGCCGTTGCTGACATGGTCCACTGCTCAAAGCTCTATAGCACCGACCATCGGTAACGCTGCAAGCGCGTTCCTGCGCCCTTCCTTCAACCTTCATAAGGACGTTGTGGTAATGTTTGCGACTCAATGCTTATTGACAGCCTGGAGACGTCGACTTCCCCCATCTTTGAGAGAGATGTGAACTCCATGGCAGAGCTCAGGCTCAGGCTTAGCAGTCGGCAGCTAGGTGAGGAGCCTTGAAAATAAACGTGACTTGACAGCACGATCAGACGCAGGAAGAAGGCACTTGGCCATCCTGTCTGGTCTATATTATTCTTTTATTCAAGTTTCTTTCTATACGACCCACACATTATGGCTTGTACTGTTTCAAAACCCGACGAGTTGGACGTCCGGTCAATAGGAGCGCCACATCCCGCTTGAAGACGGTTGCGACGACCTGGCACAACTGAAATGCGCCGTCGAAATATTTGGCCCGTTAAAAAGGTGGTATACAATAAGGTCGAAACCCCTAAGCTTAGCGGCGATTGCTGTATTTCGGGCAGTCCACCTCCAACTTCTATTCTAAGCCGTTTACAATTTAATGGCGACCGTTGCTAGTCACCTCGCTACCGTTCCATTCAATTTTCAAGCCCCCACTTTCGAAAAGCTTTTGTCATTGACATGCATGGCGAACGTCTATGTCCAGTCCATGTCTCATTCATTCCCCATCCTTTCCTCTCTCACTCTAAACTCAGCAGGTTCTGGCGTAAAAAAGGGTTGTGTTTCACTAGTGTAGGCAAGCATTCATAGAGAATCCTTGATGATTCCCGTTAACTTTAGTGAGACTGTACGGCAACTCTTTTAGCCTTCTGATTGCCTTGCGTCCTAAAGCCTTCTATTTCCGCCCGAGTTCATCTTATTCCTGCTGCCCTGCCGCCCTGCCTGCCTGTCTTGTCCCGACATTTAATGTGTGCGAAACGCGTTAATAAATCTTTGCGATAATGCAGCCAGGATTTAGCAAGAGACCGACAAGGCTTCGTTTTCATTGCCAGGCTAACTTCGCGAAACAAATTGCCCCTCTTAGTTCATGCTGTCATTGATAAGCAATCATCAGCCGGAGATTTGGGATTTGAACTGATCAATGGCCGAGGGAGATGTCATCTGTTTCAAATAGTTTTACAGTCTGCCTCTTATCGTGGAAGCTCACCATTCGCCTAACCTTTCTGGCTGAATTGCATCGATAGACCAACTTGAACAAAATTTATATGCCCGTTGCACACTGTACCGCTTTCGATAGTAGGAGGTTATACTACGCAAGAGGTCGACGATAACGTTGACTTATTCCCATGTGCTGCACTCTCATGCACTTCTATTACTGCACTGAGGGCACAAAGCGTTAATGTTGGGGGCTGAAACGGTCAAATCAATGGATCAAAGTCGTCGGACAGCGAACAAAATCATACAATATTGTTGCGGATATTGATGGCTAGTGACAGGTAAGTCTTTGTGAGATCGATAGTCGCACAAAAAGAGCTTACTATTGCCAACAAGTCTGGCTACACTGGGGCGGCCTGCAAGTCCTTGGGTGCGTCGTGCTAAATTTACAGTTGACGAGGTCACATTTAATCTTGTCGACATTTGACTATGACTTCTGTATGCCATGGTGGTTATCTTACCTCTTCGTCGGGCTTGATGATCGTAGAAAGGTGAGCCTTATATAAGCTAAATCAGGAATTTGAATGCCTGTACCAAAGTTACGCCGTGGCCACAACTACAGACTAGTTAGCGTCCATAGTGAGTAAGAGGAACAGCACTGACCGTGTGTAGACGTTTCGAACCCTAACACGAACGAGCCAGTGTAAGTATTCGCTTGTTGAGCAAGGATGGCGAAACTCACTGTCGATAAAGGCACATATTGCAGAGACAGAGGAAGACACCACTCCAACTCCAAGGCGCCTCCTGCTTTATAGGATACAGGATCCGGCCAACTCGTTCCCTTGCGATCAGTCGAAGAAGAGGCATCACAAGTGTATCCTGAGTTTTGGGCGAGAACTGTGTGGCCTTGGGATCACATTTCGCAATACCAAAACGAATTCGGTTCGATTCTCCGCGTAAACCCGCCATGTTGTCTATAGCTACTTCCCAGTCGCTAGGCAAAGGAATTGAAGCGTGGTCAACACCAATCCGTAACAAGTAATTCACTACAAGCGCTTTGTCACTGATAAACGCATAGATGTGCCGGAACCACATTGCAGTAGAGAAGACAAGATACCGATCCATTCCAGATAGAAGTGTGCGACAGTCTGACCAGAGGACGGGAGAAGACAGTTCGAAATCAACCGAACCATCGGACGTGAATGTTAGAGAAAGCACCGGCTACCCAATGGCGAGATGCGATCACCTCGTTTAATGCACTTTTGCATACATCTATCCAATCATTTACAAGTATCCATAGAAATTCTTAAAGGTCACACCCAGCACCATTCTAGCGAGCCGAGGAAGCCCGAAGACAGGTCTCCCAGATATGCAAAGTGGAGACCCGTGCAGTTTGCCGCTGTTTTTGGGCTATTCGTGAGAGAAGACGGCCGTTCCGAATGTCTGAAAAACGTTCAGCAACACATACATCAATCGTTCGTTCCTTATCGGATTCAATCTAACCTTGTATCGCAGATGCCTGAGCCTTACGGTGAGTGTGTTACGTCCCCCTAAATTTAGGTTTTTCAGGCTGGACGCTTGCTTTGACCTTGACCGGGCACAGTTGGGGATCTGCTGCCTCAAGAAGCACAGTCGCCCAACGATCGGAAGCCTCTGGCATATCAAAGTCCATACAGATGACTTGGATAGCCTACCGAACGCCCCGATATCGTAGTGTTGGCGACATGAGGATACAACTGTAAGACCGTTAGTAGTATCACATAGGCATGTGGATAGAAAACCTAGTCGGTTCCAGTCTACAGCTCGTACACACATATACAGCTGGTATCAATATTTAGAAAAAACAGCCCCAACTGTCAATAGATATTGAGTCCTTGATCGGTGGAACCAAACGGCGTGTGCTGTGTGATCTGCCATGCTTTTGATTAGATCTAGAGAAATGTATACTAGACCACTACCTCGGTAACATGAAGACTTCCCCATCTTCGTGAAGGGTGCTTAGAGCCCATGCCCTATATCTGGAAAAAGTTCCACCAATCGCTGAGCTTCATAGCTAACGAAGAGATACCAGATGCCTTTGGCACGGAGCCCCTTTGACGCCAAGTTCCAAGCATATTCTGATGCAATGTGTTGGGGAAGTTTCTCATAAGCGCTATAAATGAGCTTGCGGCCACCG